GGTTCTTTCGAAGGACTGCCGGCGTGACAAGGCTCCAGTAGTTACGGATAACGGGAATTCAAGAAATTTTCATTTGCAAGCCGCTCTTTCGACAGAGAGAACAATTACAGTTGCAATGGTTTGACAAGAAACCGGACAAGAGACTAGCAAGGCGGATGTTGTTCGCGAAACCACAAGACATACAACTAAGAGACAGACCAAATCTCAGGATATCATGTGCACCTTGCCTAGTTGCATAAAACGTTAACTAAATATGCAATATATACCCGGTTTGGAGTAGTATACTGTAGGTTCTGAAAGAGTTAAGCAATTGCTACATGTAATAAGGAACGTAGAGAATTTCGTTCATGCACTGGTGGTTATACTGAAAAACATCAAAACACAAGACTCACTAATATCGAACGCAAGAAATAATATGATCAATCATGTGACCGACCACTACCAACTTTAAGCTAGTCCCAAGAGCCTTCTTCAAGACAGGAAGTTAGTAAAGTTATGGAAGTTTTTTTTGTTGTCCGCCGCAGTTGGTAGGTTTGTAGCCAGAAGGCAAGATTTTGGTCCATGCTGCTGGTTAAATAGTCTCTGGGCGACAGCGGCGATCAGGCTAACCTAATCAGCGCAGGGTTCGTACCCTTTGCCTCAATTAAAATTCTGTCGTAGGACTGGATGATATGAGTACAGAATGAGGATTCGGTCGATAAAGCATATTAAATAAACTTTTCGTAATAATTATCATGCAGTTAAATTGGTTAATAATATCATAAATCGTAGATTAACATCTTTTAGATCAACCTATAACACAAAGTCAAAATAATAGTGTCAACACAATAGTGTCAAAAATAGTGTACTAATAATAAACGTAATTCAATTCTACTTCAGCATAAAAACTTTAGTGAAAAGATGACGCTAGACATAACATTAATGCCATCTATAAAGGCTCCAATAATCTTAATTCGTTACTAAGAAATTCTGAGAATAACACCTTCTCAGTCTCAGTTTGCAAATTACCGTGTAATCGCGGGAAAAAGAGAAACAAGGAATACCGTCACAAAAAACAAAGATCCACCTATCAAGCTGAAAAGGATGGATGTTCGCGGAGGAGAGTGAAAGACGAGTGGTAAAAAAGCACCCGGAAAGAAAACAAAGCCTCAAATTCGTTAAAATTAAGGAACAATGCAAAAAACTTATGGGATTGTGCAGCAATGGTGAAACTGCATTGGCATCTTGAAAGAAAGACATTGGCTGCACAGGTGTGTAAAGGAGTCATGAATAATATACC